ATTATTTCTTCTTTCTTGTTGCTTTATCCAGTGTTTGGATTCTCTGTTTTTGCTGTTTTGTCTCTCTTCTCCTTGTTGGCTCCTTTCTTTCCAACTCCCCCCTTGCTAGTTGGGTTGCTTCTTCCCTCTACCCTTCTTATTGATGTTTTACTGGAAGTCTTGTATTCCCTTTAATTTCATCAATAATACTTTTTTTTGGCCAATAATAAAAATAATTAAATAAATAAATAATTGATTCACCAGTTGATGGGATTGATTATGTGAGCAGTCTTGTCTATGATATACTTTCACTTTGTAATGATTTTTTTATTTACTTTCCCTTTAATTGTCTTGCTCGTCACAGGGTGGGTGGAGAGGGCATCTTGGGAGTTTCGTTTTGCATGAGACTACCCTTCTTATTGATGTTTTACTGGAAGTCTTGTATTCCCTTTAATTTCATCAATAATACTTTTTTTTGGCCAATAATAAAAATAATTAAATAAATAAATAATTGATTCACCAGTTGATGGGATTGATTATGTGAGCAGTCTAATAATTGATATACTTTCACTTTGGAATGATTTTTTTATTTACTTTCCCTTTAATTGTCTTGCTCGTCACAGGGTGGGTGGAGAGGGCATCTTGGGAGTTTTGTTTTGCATGTGAGTCATGTTTTGTGACTATCTTTGATTATCAACAAAGTCTGTTACCAGTTGGGGAAACAAAAAAAAAAAATCTATTAATTATTATCAAAACTCAAAATCACAACCTCAGTGGCGGATTTACTCAAGGCCCGGAAGGGGCCTGCGCCCTCAAGTTTTGGAAAATTATCCATTTATCTGTAAATTTAGAAAATTTCTTCAATTTGACCCTCCTCAAAAATTATAGATGCTCCTTAATCTTTCAAAAACCCTCCCTATTTTGTTACTTTTTGTTTTTATTTAATTAAAACCCCATTCATTAATCCCGTAAAACAATTTTTTTACAAAAAAAACTCTTAAAGTTTGACTCTTGTAACAAAATAAATTCTAAAATTTTAATTTTATCAATTTAAACATTAAATGTTTGATTCGTTTTTAATTTAAATCATCAATTGTTTCTGTTAAATAAAGTCAACTAGTAAATAGTATTTTAATCATTTAAGTTTAAACGCTTTTATTTTCACACACCGCAAACTCTCTGTGTACATCTATTCTCCATGATCCTAACTTTAGTCACCAGCTCGGTCACTAGTATGACCTTGCTACCACCACTCAGCCCATCTCTACTACAATCTCTCTTTCTCTCTCTCTCTCATCATCACTATCACTTTCAAACCCATGATATCCCTACCTTGCAACGCTCAAACAACCTTCCACTACCATCACCACTATCATGAAGCCTTCTACATTTCTACATTTGTGCTGATAGTGACCAGGGTTTGCCCAGGAATTCATGTCGGTGGTTGCTCGGGGCAAAGGGTGTTTGTGAAAGTCGATTGTTCAAATTCGGAGATTTTTTTTTTTTTTTTTTTATTTCTCCAATAATTTATGATATTGATGAATCTGTGATTTGACACTATGTGATTATATGAACTATATTGATTATGAAATTTCTGAAACTAGTAGCTGTTATATGTAGATTATACATTGAGAAAGTTTTTTATTTTTATTTTTTATGTTGATGTTATCAACCAAATTCAAAAGATAAAACCTCATTTGGATCAATTTTAAAGTACACATTTGAAATTTTATCTCATACTTCTATGTTTATTATTCTCTTAAACTTCGTCATTATTGATTATAAAAAAAAATTTCTAAAGTTATGATTAATGGTTGCCCTGGATAAATTTTGGAGAAAATAACGAATAAATTCTATTTTACTCTTGAGTCCTATCAAGTTTTATTATGGACAATTAAGTCCTATTTTTAATAAAATATTTCCAAAAAGTTTATTATTATATAATGGTGTATGCTATTCCAATTTTACCCCTTATTTAATATGAACAATAATTTCTTACATATTTTTAATCCAAGTATAATTATATTTTTAATTATAAAAATTATGATATTGTATTAAAATAATCAAAAATCACAATGAAAAAATTATCATTAAGTTCTATTTTGTTTTAAAAATTACTATATATTGAGTTATATCAAATTTTAATATTAACAAATAAATCTATTTTTTAATTTTATTTTAGAAATTGTTATAAAAATATTCAATTATTCATAATAGTATATTTTATTTTAATTTTATATTTCTCATTAAAGTATGAAGCAAAAATTTCATAAATAATTTTAATTTATTTAAAATTTTATAATAAAAATATTTTAGTTGTTTGAAATTAAATCAATTCATAAACAAAAGTATAAGTATAGAATTTATGAACTATCTCATACATTAAGAATATATATAATTTTCATAGTATTATTTTTCATAGTACTACGTAATTTTAGGGTAAATTACAAATATACCTTTTGAAGTTTGATTAAAATACAAATTGCCCCCTGTAGTTTTGAAAATTACATTCCACTCCCTGATATTTCTAATTTCATAACAAATCGCCCCTTTTATTAATAAATCATTGAGTCAATTAATAGTTTTTAATGATATTATAAATATGTTTCAATTAATAATATAGGTAATTTTATTATTATATAGGAGAGCAATTATGAATTTCTTTTTTTTTAGTTAATTATGTTAAACAAAAAATTTTAATAAGGGAGAATTTGTAATTTTTCAAACTACAGGGGTAATCTGTACTTTAAGCTAATCTCAGATGTATTTGTAATTTACCTATAATTTTAATAGAATTTAACCTTTTTAGATTGTTTGCACTAAAAGAATTCATTATTTAAATAACAAAAAATAGTACATTTTATACTTTTTTGGATGGGTGAAGCACTAATAAATTTCAAATAGTTATCTTATGATATTTAGTCCTCTTTCTTTTTCTTGTAGACCAAAAGGTCGCATGTGTGTTATGTGTTGAGAGATAAATGTAGATTTTTTCATAATGTTAAAATTACTAAACGTAAACACTTCAAAAAAACTCCTTGGTGTACTTTTTCTAAACATAACACTTCAACATAACACTCAAAAAACGTAACACTCCAATATAACACACTAAATAATTTCTTAGTATATTTTTCTCAAACGTAACAACGTAACATTCCAAAAAAAAACTCTATATATTTTTCTCAAACGTAATACTCCAATGTAACACACTAAAACTTTGTGTACTTTTTCAAACGTAGCATTCTAATATAATACTCCAATATAACACTAAAAAATCACACTAACGAAAATGTAAATTTTCACCCTCGACAACCAATATTTCAACCGCCATTCTCCTCAAAAAGAATCTTCCACATCTACCTTCTCATCCCAAAAATGAATCAGAAAATTGAAAAAATGTATCACAAAATAGCATTCACTTAAACTCAAAGGGTACCAAATCAAATAAATATAACTTTTCAAAACAAAAAAGGACTAATTAATTCATAAGAAAACTTTGAAAAACTAAATGTATCAACATTCTCTCATATGGCATTTACACGTAAATTTTCCTTTTTTGATCCATTTGTTATTTATGATTTTTTAAATATAATATTAATAATTTTTACAAATAAAATTTTAAATTTTAATTAATTTAAAATTGTTTATAAAATTATTATTCGTACTAAATCATAAGGGTAAAATTTAAATAAGATAGACCATTATGGAATAATAAATCTTTCTGGGAACATTTTATCACAAATATGACTTAGTTGTCCATATTAAAATTTGATAAGACTCAATAGTAATCTTGAGAGTAAAATAATTATGTTAGACATCCCAATTTAATGATATTTTTTTTATTACTATTAAGTCCCTACTTAAAATAATCAAAAACTACTTGACTTAAAAAAAAAACAATGTATAAATAAACGTGTTTTGGACACCCCATTTATCATCAACCCCAATATCCATTCTCTCTCCTCTTCTTACTCTTGTTACTTTGCATCTTCATACTCAATCTTAACCCAACTCTATTTGCTTTAACCTATCATTCTTGTATTCTATTTCTTATTGAAATCAACAACGGACAATAAAGAAGACGTTTCTAAGCAATTTTCTATAGAGAAAGTAAGTTTTTAATTGTTATTCATTATTTTTTGTAAGTTGATTTTCTAAATTGATTCAGCACTTATCCGAACAAATTTCACATGTTTGGAATTAAGTATCCAAACAAATATTTTGTTCAGTACTGAGTATCTATATGAAACAATTGGAACAAATTTTCTATGGTTTGGACTTGAGTATCCAAACAAATTTCACATGTTTGGAATTAAGTATTCGGACAAATATATTTTATTCAGCATTGAGTATCTATATGAAACAACTGGAACCAATTTTCTTGTGTTCGGCACTGAGTATCCAGAAATAGGTAGCCGCCAATGGATGTAGCAGTAGTGGTTTGCTTTGATGGACGGATTGTGTACAGGAGTAGAGACCATCTTTGTCTCAGAATCCCTCTTCGCCTCGGATGAGCTCAGAATCCCTCTTCGTCACTTGAAATTTTAGAGACATCAATTGTGATTTTTGTTTCTCTGTTTATTAGTAATGTGGTGTACAAAGTAGATTTGTATAGGTTTTAGGATTTTTAGGGTTATGATAGGTATTATTTGGAGTGTCCAAACAAATAAATAAAATTTTAAATTTATTATTATGGTGCTAAAAGTAATGGGATGTCCAACCTACTTTTTAGGGTGCAAATAGAAGTCCCCCTTATTAGTTATTTTTCCTAAATTTGTTAGACTGCACCACTGCGCAAATTATGCACTAAGAAAACAAAATCTTAAAAAGTGTTCAAAATTTGAAATATGTGAGTAAAATTCATTTCAGTGTAATTCATATCATACCAAATTTAAATTTACATTGCCATGTATAAAAATTGTGGATTTCTAGGTATACAAAAATGAGCAAAGGAATATGTTGAAACTCATACAAGATGTGAGTTCTATGATCATTGGTGGAGAAAGAAAAATGCAAAACTGTCTGAATATTTATACATAATTTATAACAAGAATAATGTAACAGTGATATTTATAAATAAAAGCTATTTTAATAGGTTTTCTATTCTAAAGTGAAATGACTTACATTGAATTACATCATCCTGTGTAAAAATTATGAATTTAGTTTATATATCACTGCTAAGTAAAAAATGGTGAATCACCATGGACTACGATGTGGTGCGTCCAGTGTAAAATTTCTCCTCTGCGTGTGTATTATGAGTGGCGGCATATGTAATTAGCCACCATGAATCCTTTTCACAGCTTCTTGAAAGGCAGACTGGTCCCATTCACCTCCCTATATACAAAAACACACCTAAATTAATATTAAAAAAAAAATTATTCAATGTTTTTGACTCTTTAATTAATTGATCATACCCATCCTTCTCATTTCTCATAAAGGACCCATTCATTAGGCAAAAACGAATAAAATTCTACTAGAAATTAATATAAACTAATGCAGTCACACATTACTCCAAATAAAAAATCCCTAATATATTGAAGGGTTTAGGTAAGTTTTTTGAAATCAAAACCAAAGATTTCATCAGTTGAAAGGTCTATATCTTTATCACCTGAAAGATCTATGTCTCTATTAAAGGACAAAAAATTATATAAATCAATATGATATTAGCACTAGATGTTATCACTTTTAAACTATCTAATAATTTCTCGTCAAATGACGAACATGCTTACTAACGTTTACGTCTTTTATTCTCATCCTATGTACAGTAATTTAAACATATTCATCTTTTGATAAATAATTAAATAAAAAATATATAATTTATTTAACAAAAAATATATTTATTTTTCTAATTCAAACAAAAAAGATAGAAAAAATACAAGTTTCTACTTTCTTTTTCTATCTTTTTTTTTTTTCCCTTCTACATATTATAAATCCAAACACAATATGACTAAAGTAAAATGAAATTCTTACTAGTTGGGGTACCTGGCGTGCCTGCAAGGGTGTTGTCTCCTTTGGAGGGCTCTATCTCAGAATTACCTTAATAAGTTGAATTGTTCATTTTATAAGATTTGTCCAAAAGTTATCCATTTAAAAATTAGATTGATCGGACATTAATAGTTACATGCAGTTCATTTTTGTTGGACAATTTATTCTCAAAATTACATTTTTTGTGCATATTTTTAAAGACAAATATGATTTAGTCATTTAATTATCAATATCCAATCAATTTAATATTTTACATAAATAATTTTCTTGACGGACTTTAAAAAATAAATAATTCATATCATTGAGGTGGTTACAAAGTGGAGCCCTGGAGGGGGACAACACCCCTCGTGCCTTAAGCACAGGTACACCAAATCACATTTTTAGGGTGATCAAATCCACTAATATTGGAAGGGTTTCATTGATCAAAAACTGCTTAATCTAAATAGATCTACACACTCTATTACAAGACTCAAAAATCTGTAGTTCAAAATGAGAAAAATCTAATCTTTGCAATGTGCTTAGAATGATATGAAAGTTATAAAAGGATTCTAATTTCTAATTCTCATTCTGGGATGATCAAATAACTGAATAAGGTTTCATTGTTGCCAAATATATATGTATATTTTTGGTGTGCAGTGTTGAGAATACTATTATACCAAAGTGATCAACTATAGAATATATGACCGCTTAATTATATAAGTTAATGAATTTGTGTTAAGATACATACCTCAATTTTCAATCTCAATGTCACACGATTGAGAGAAGTTGATTCTACCAACCGGGTATCTGCTTCCACAGACATTAAGTTGACATTGTTAACTTGTTTCAAGAATTCTAGTGTTTGCATCACCAAATCCAACACGTTACATTCTCCTCTTACAATCACTTCCAAGTCGATGATTTGCGCTTCTTCCAACGTTAATTCAGCCACATGTGTAACCTCAACACGTACCCTTTCGTTTGAGGACAACACACTGACTTCTTCACTAGATTCTTTTCTAGGCAAAAGTTGTGCCTCCAAAAGTTGGTTTCTTCTAGTTAGCTCCACAACTTGATCTTTCAAAGATGTCAACAACGCAGTTGTGCTAGTAAGCAATGACGCTTTGTCTTTCTACACAACCCAAACACAAACTCAAATCATGGATTGTTCATTTATAATTGATAAAATGTAGTGTAAGTGATCAGTAATTCAATATGCTAAGCTTTCAGTTGGAGTATATGGTGTGGTATTAGTAAGGATAAATTACACCAATAGTCAATGTATTTTGTTCTTTGTATCATTTTTGTCATTACACTTTCAATTGATTCGACTTTGACTATTAGTTTTGATAATTTTAGATGTTGAATTGATTTGGTCCAATTAATAACATCAGTTAAGATTTTTGACAAAAAATGGCCACTAAGTTCGTTGATTTTAACTCACTAAATTGACTAAGTTTATCATTTTATCTCTAAAAGCATGACGTATGCAAGTGACGTGCACATTTTTTTATTAAAAAATGGTAACAAGTATAGTCCATTGAAAATTAAGATAAAATCAAAAATTTATAATTAAAATCAAACTAATTATAATTATAATAATTAAAATAATATAAAGACCAAAGTATAGAAAGTAATGTAATCTTCTCTATTAGTAATTTAATACCTTTGTTCCAGGAGGAAGTAGTGATCTCAATGCTTCAAACATTTCATTGAGTTTCTCTCTCCTTTTTCTCTCAGATATCATATGGTGCAACTGGCTACTCGTGGGGCGGCTTCCTTGCTCACGTTCTTGGGCTCGCGTCAAGTCTAAGGATCTAAAGAATGTGATTGCTCGTTTTGCAATGCTTTGTCTTCGAGATCTGGTTGTCATGGAGGTTGAAGGGCCTAAAACTGATCTATATCTGTTAAATGCACTAGTAGCCTTTTCGCTTACTTGGAAATTTGGAGGTATGTTTTGTTGGGATTGAAGCGATGATGAAGAAGAAGAAGGAGAAGAAGATATAACTGAAAGGAAGGCTTTTCTAATTGCATCCTCTTCAGTTTCAGGTGTTGGAAATAGAGGGTTTCGGATTTGGCTTAAGGCTTGTAGGGCTTGGTGGAGTGGACTAATTGAGGTTGATAATTGTCTCAGTGTTTGTTCAGTGGGAGCTTCTGTAGGTGGCTCTGAAAGATAAGAAGGGCTTGGAATGTTGAGGCGGAAAGGTGAGACCTCAGAGCTATCTAGGGATAGTGATCTCAATGACGATGAAGATGATGAAGGTCGGTTATGATCAATTAGATGTTGAAGCTCTCTAGGTGGTGCTTGTTGAGAGAGATTTTCAGGGAACCAGTTCATCATTTCCATTTGCAAGTTAACCTGTGAAACCCTATTTGTGAATTTCTCTTTCAATAAATGTAATCTCACCAAGCAACAAAGACTTGTGCATTTTTTAGTTACATACACCCAAGTTTGGTGAGAAATAAAATGAAGGGAAAAAAAAAAAAACTCATCATTTTCATATGATTTTTTCTTTTTTTGGTGAAAATAGTTTTTGGAACTTTGAAAATATTTTTTGGGTGTTTATTTTTATCAAAATAATTTTTATTTTTTTCTTTAGAAAACAAATAATGAAAACAAAACCAAACATGGTGATTAAATTTGTAAAAAAAAAACAAGAAAATAAAACATATGTACTATTCAAGTAAGGTTCTTACTTGAGTATCATTAGACATCCCTAACTCAATCTCTCCTGTCATGCACCCCATAAATATTGCACTCTGTGACAACAATTAGAACAGGTACACTATGATCATATGTTCAAATTATAGTATTGTACATATAATCATGTGGGTGATCAATAAACACTTGAGATTGTTGATTAACAAACCTTAATCCTAGCTTCCTGTAATGATTAAACACAAATTGCAAATAAGTTAGCTGAAATTTCACACATATGAATAACAGCAGTCCTACAGTCCCAGAAAAACACCCAAAAAACACATTCAATGGTTGAGATTAATTTTAGAAAAATGTTTGAGGGCCACAAAAACAGTGGTTCAAATGGCTCAAAACTGTGGCCCTCAAACATTGCTGTTAATTTTATGTACTCATCCCACCATATAAAAAATAGATCTCAACCGCACACTGTTTTTCTGGTTCAACTCATGGTCCATAATTCTGGGTCCATAGACATTTAAAGACTCTTTCTTGTCAATGTTATAATCATTCATCAAACATTATTACCTGATAGAATTGCAGCTGTGATTCAACAGATGCTAGTCTTTGAAGGTCCAATTCCTTGAGCTCCATGAATCGACTATTGTTCTTGAAAGCAAGCCCCGGAACGCAGCTGAAACAAGAAAAAGACCAAAGCATTTATATTAATTGGAACATTTTGTTGTTCTAGTATAGTAATTTTTGTGCCATGATATCATACTCATTTTCTACGGTGAATACGGATAGTATATATTCATCAAAAAGCCTCCGAGCACGACTTCCAGAAGAGGAGCTGGCTTGGTTAATGCTTTCTTCCTTGTAGAATCCATCCTTGAAGATCAAACAGCTGGTGTAAATTTTCAAACGTAAGTCATAGGAATTATATAAATTCAATTCACATTATATTCATGTACCTAATTAAAGGGTTTTTCTGTGTACACACTAATATATGCGCATATCGAAAAATTCATACAAAAAAATCATACAGAATGAAAATTGGTTAGATTTTAAGCATGTCACTTTAAGACAAAGAGCCCATTCAAATACCTTTAAAAACACAAACAACACTCTCATATCATTCTGATACAATATTGTGTGTAAATTTTTTGGTGAAATAGAATTTTCTTATATTTATAGAGAGAGAGAGAGAGAGAGAGAGAGAGAGAGGAGAAAAAAGGGTTTAGGGTTTTCTTACTTTGAAGGTTGGGGGAGGTATGACCATAGGCAAATATAAATGGAGCCAAAGGACTGCACTATGTTTTGGAGAAAGTTGGCACGAGGTTCATCATCAAGTTCGAAGATGGAATCCATAGCAAGTGCTAAACTTTGATTAATCTTTTTGAATCTCTCTCTCTCTCTCCTCTTGTGTGTTGATCATGATACCAAATCAACTACATATATATATAGAAAGAAAGAGAGAGAAAGGGTCTTGGAAGGTAATGGAAGGAGCTAGTTTATACATGGAGAAGGCATAGAAGGATCTTTAGATGATTAATGATTTGTTTGAAAATGTCAGGCTTGAAAAGTAGGAGTAAAGAATCGAAGATCTTTGCTAGAGACAGAGAGAGAGAGAAAGAAAGGACAAAAAAAAAAATTTGATAAGAGTGTATTGAAAAGTATTAGTAGAAGGGAGAAAAGATCCAACTAAACACCACCAAAATAGTAGCACCCCGCCACCTCGTGTTGGTGAGAGATGTTTGAGAAATGGGAACTTGAAAAGTAGTAAAGCTGAGAGAAATGAATTGTTTCAGGGAGAGCAAATGGGAATTTGAACAGTAGAGAGAGAGAGAGGATGGTGATTGGAAACTGCCAGACAGAAGAAAAGAGGGTTAGAAAAATAATGGTCAAAGTCCAACCTCGCGAGGATTTGAAAAGAGTCCGAGCCTGGAAAATCAACGTCCTCTTGTCTTCTCATTATTTTTAGAAAATTGCTATGCACTTAAATAATGTATCAAATTTTTTATTAACTCTTTTTATAGAGGCGTGTGATTCACATAAATTTATGTACATAGATTTCACATTTATATAAGAGATTTAATAGATTATTTAAAATTTTTAACATAATTCTTATTTTTAGGATAAATTACACTGAGATCTCTTGAGATTTTGGTTTAATACAAATTTCCCTCTTATATTTGAAAAATTGCGTTCTCCTCTCTATGGTTTGTAATATCATTACAAATTATTCCATGAATTGCTGATGTTATGCTCCAAAATTTTCTAAACGATCATCTTATCATTTTTTCTATCATTTATTCTTCCTATCATCATGATTACATTCTACAACTTTCTATTATTAAATTTTACCTGAACATATTCTTGTTGAGTGATAATATACAAACATAAATTTTATATAGAATTTTCAAACATAATTGAAAAATCTAGAAATCCCCTAGATATTGATTTGTGATTATATATCAATTTTAAGTAGTAGATAACAATCCCAATCAAACAATTAAGACAAATCAACACAACAATTTTAACGTAGAAAAAATCACAATTGGAGCACCTCCAATTGTGATAAAAAATAAAAAATAAAGGAATTACACAAGTGTACTCTCAATTACCTAGAGAATCCATGCCCGAATTGAACCGACCCCTATATGCCTCTTCTACCACGGTCTTCACCTCGGAATTATCTTGCCCAGCGTTGAATCCACAACGCTGATGTCGAATCACGACGATGAGTCACTTCAGAATCCACCAAAGCTTCAAGCTCGAATTTCCCAAAATCCACTGAAGAACAATTCTCTCTTTTGTATCGAATAAACAAACAATCATTTGATGTATACTTCTTAAATTATGAGTTGAATACTCAATCAAACATTAAAGAAAACTAGCAAAATAGCCTCAGATATAAACCCTAATATCCAAGAAGAAGATCTAGAAGCGCAATCCTAGATTTTGAGCAACTTAAGGTTTTATAGAAGCTGAGATCGCGAGGTCCGCTCGAGCGTAGGAATGGACGCTCGAGTGAGGACTCTATATCGCGTGTTCCAAACCAGGGATCACGCTCGAGCGTAAGATCCCACGCTCAAGCGTAAAAACACACCACTCAGTATTTTTTCAAGCAATTAAACTTCTGGAACTAAACATTCTCCGCTCGAGTGGGAGAATGTCTGCTCGAGCGGACAAGCAACTTTAAATGCATTTTTGCATTTTGCTTCGGGGGCGCTGCCCCTCAACCCCGTCATAGTCAGCGAAGTGACAAACATTAAGTACTCATAACCTCACTGAAATAAAAGAGGGAATAAAATTACAATTAAAAGGAGTTTTGTCAAACAGAATTGTCAAAAATAAAAACCTAACAAGAATGATATAACTTAATGATGAATTTCACTTTAAAACAAAACATCCATAAACATAATTTATATTTACAACAATACCACTATCACAACATTTTTATAATATTTTTTTGTATAAATTTTTATATATAAGTATAATTTTTTATTTTTATTTCCACCATTATACCTAGATTAGATCAATTTAATCTAGATATATTTAAAAAGTATAAAATTGTACAAAAAATTCTAAAAAAATCCATTGAATACAACAAAATAAGATAATGTATTTAATTTTTTAATTTTTTTATATGTTGTATTTGGTGAATTTAAAATATATATATATATATATATAATATTATACTTTTTAAGTATATCTATATTAGATGTGCCTAAAAAATAAACTAAAATAAATTCTTAAAATATTAAAAAACTTCATTAAAAATAAAAAAAAATAAAAAAAAAACACAAAAAATTTAAAAACTCAATTTTTTGTGTGAGTTAAATTAAACAAGATGATTGTTATTTTCCTTGAAATGACATGAACACAAATTTTTTTTTTTTTATCAGCAAAAGAAAAGATTTATTGATGGAAAAAGCAAATTACATGCAAAGATACATCAACAAATCAGGGAAGTGCACAAGCATCATAGCTAACCTTCACAATCCCAACTAGGTTCGCACCATAAAGGAAGCACAATCATATGCAAGCACTTAACCCAAGATTGGCGAGAAACCAATCGAAAACGAACAAAAACCAATCAAACAGAACAACATTAAATCTAGCTCCAAACCATTGAGATTCCAACAGAAGCAAACAAGAACAGAACACCCCATAGCAACAGCAGCCACAAACAGAAGCAGACCAAAACAAAACTGTAGGAACCCACATTTTATGTTCTCATCATGTTCATGAGCATCTGTGTGATTATGACTTGTTAAGTTGCATGTGTGTATGTTGTGATTTGTTTCGCTTGAGCTAACGTGATCCGTGTCTTGTTTTGAAGCCTTGTGGTTTGTCTAAGTGTAGTATGCTTGTCTTGTTCCTTCCTTGATGTGAAACTTAGGTCACGCCTTGCCTGAGTTATACTAGCCGACGTTATTCCGAGCCGAGGTCATCCTTAGTCTAGTAGTAATATCTTGGAACCCCTTGTTGATCTCCGTCCTTGCCTTGACCACATTAGCCGAGATGTTACCTTGCACCCAAGCGATCTCGTCCTGGAGTGGTACGACCTAGGCTGAGGTGTGGCGCATCTAGGCCAAGATGTGGCACAGCTTAGTCAAGTGTTGTCCTTCCTAGCCGAGGTCATTGTCACCCCTTGCCGGAAGTGCCACTCCGTGTAGCTTGTTAGATATGCCTTGTTGTTAGCCGATGTCATAGCCTGTCAGAGAGCCCATACCGCTTTGCTTGTTGAACACCCTTCCACCATGCTTTGTCTGGCCTGTCAGCCACCTTTTCAGGATGAACCCAACCAATCGCCGCCACGTGTCTCACTCAGTCTAGAAGTATCTTGGAACCCCTTGTTGACCTCCGTCCTTGCCTTGACCACATTAGCCGAGATGTTACCTTGCACCCAAGTGATCTCGTCCTGGAGTGGTATGACCTAGGCCGAGGTGTGGCGCATCTAGGCCAAGATGTGGCACAGCTTAGTCATGTGTTGTCCTTCCTAGTCGGGGTCATTGTCACCTTAGTTGCCGAAGTCCTTTTGTTAGCCGATGTCACCCATTGCCGGAGTGCCATTCCGCGTAGCTTGTTGAATACGCCTTGTCGTTAGCCGATGTCATTGCCTCGTCAGAGAGCCCATACCGCTTTACTTGTTGAACACCCTTCCACCATGCTTTGTCTGGTCTGTCAGCCACCTTTTCAGGGAAAACCCAACCAGTCGCCGCCACGTGTCTCAGCAGAGGGTTAACCCCAGAACCGGGTAAAGAAAACTATCATTTGGTATCATAACCTTGCCTTGTAGAGAGAGAAACTCTAGGAGGAAGAAGGAGTTTTAGAGTGAGGAAGTAGATCTTCAAGCTTGATTCCTAGAGATCGAACCGTTAGATCCGTGTTCTAAGGTTAGATTCTTGATCTGCTCATGATGTTCTCTATGTTCATGTTGTAGCATTGCATGATCGAATACGATTTGTAAACCATGCATTGTTTTGAAGTTCGATTTTAGAAAGAAAAAATGACATTCATGTGTTCTTCAAGAAAGTCTTGTTTTGATCCGAAAGCTTGCATAAAGAATCATGTTTTTGTGTTTATTTCCGCAAGAATTCCAAGTATGGGTATCCAGGTCCATGTTTTCAAACTCATAGCACGAAAATCCCAGATTTGTGATGACAGATTATGATTGAACATTCATATTTTTCATGTTTTCACACTTATGTTCTTCATGTTCCTCAGCAGAGGGAAACCCAGAGTTTCCCTACCTCTTTTCCTTGCATGTGGCCCCCGGGAACACACCTCGGCGAGGAGGTGTGGAACCTCGGCCTAGACCTGGTTGGTGCCCAGCATGTTTTCCGAAATCATTTGTGTACATACGAAACTTGTTGAAGGTGCATTCAATAGGCTTTACCGAGTATAATGCAACTGCACTCTTGTCTTGAAAGTCCTTAGTTGCAGGGGAGTATAATTCAACTGCACTCTTGTCTTGGAATTGTCATCACCCTCTTGTATTAAGTAGATGTAATAACATCCAAAGAACTTGAAAGGCCGGCAATGAACTTGATTTCCCTCTTGATTGTAAAGTATGCTATGTATTGTTTTGAAAGAAATCTTGGATTTCAATCATGCAAAACCTTTATTTCTAATATCATTCACTGAGTATCCAAGCTCACCCTCTCTATATATATGTAGGTGATGAACAAGAAGGCATTGAGGCCTAGACGCGATTGCCAATGTGTTTTGGGTGCTTAGCCGACATGTTTTGGATTAGCATTTTTGCACCATCTTGAAGATCATGCTTCTTGGCTTATTTTACATTTGTACTTGTATATGTCGGCTTGAGAAGCCTTTTGGTCAAGATGTGTTTTGTATCTCATCTCCATGTTGTATTAAGTTGTAAGACTTTATAAAGATGTATGTCATTTCGGTGGACTTATGCACTGCTCTCATGGACTATTTAGATTCTGTATGTATATGTAT